ATGAGGCTTTCTACTCCCGTAAGGATTTACACCCTCGGAAACCCTGTACAGGGTCGCTATGGGTCGGAACCGACTCGAAGGCACTTAACAACAACAACAATGTAGTTCTCTATAATTTTTTTATATTAGTCCTGTGTCTGTCATGTTGTTATAAAACTTTTTTCCTTGTCTGTGGGCTTTCTTTTTACTCTTTAGGAGAAATTTTTTGATGCACATAAGTATCTAATTTTTAGAAAGACCCAGTCATCTACTTTGTCTCCTTCTGTTTGTGTTTTTAGTTACGTTTAACAGTATATTTATGACATGTATTAAAGCCCCAAAGTTTGTCCCTGTTATTTTAATTGGTTATCAATATAGTTCAACGTTTTGTATTTAGGTCTTTAATGCATGTTGAGTGTGTTTTTGCATATCGTGTGAGATGTGGATCTTGTTACATTCTCCAGATGAATTTTCAGTTTTACAAAGAAGAGACTGTCTTTTCATCATTTAATGGGTTTGGACCCTTTGTCAAAGAGCAGGATGGATTTACTTCTGGGTTTCCAACCAGTTATGTTCCATTGACCTATGTATCTTTTGTTGTACCAATACCAGCCTGTTTTGGCTGTGGCTATGTAGTAGATTTTGAATCAGGAAGTGAGAGGCCTCCAACTTTGTTCTTCTTAAGCAGTGCTTTTCTTTTCTGAGGTCTCTTTCCTTTTCATGTAAAGTTAGTGACACATTTTTCAATCTCTTTAAAGAATGACATTGTAATATAGATTGAGGTTGCATTATATCAATCAATTGCTTTGGGTAGTGATGACATTTTTACAATGTTAACACTTCCTATCCATGAACATGATATATTCTTCCATTTTTTTCAAGTCTCTTTTTGTTTTTTTTTTGGAGATATATATATAAGTTTTTTGTTTCTCTGGTGAGGTTTATTCCTAAGCATTTAATCTTTTGAGTGACTATTGTAAATGATATTGCTTTCCTAATTTCTTTTTCATGGCTATCTTTATTAGTATATAGGAATCCAACTGATTTTTGTATACTGATCTTGTATCTTGCCACTTTGCTGAATCTTTCAATGAGTTCCATTTTCTTGCTTAGTCTATGAGATTTTCTATGTATAGGATCATATATCATCTGCAACGAGAGTTTTACTTCTTCTTTGCCAATTTGTATGCCTTAATTTCTCTTTCTTGTCTTATAGCTCTGATTAAAACTTCCACCACAATATTGAATAGGAGTGGTAATAAAGAGCAGCCTTGTCTGTTCACATGAGGAATGATTTCAGTTTCTCTCTATTGAAAGTAATGTTGACTGTTGGATTTGTATATATTTTTGTAATTATGTTAAAGAATTTCCCTTCTATTCCTATTTTGTTGAGTGTTTTTGTCAGGAATGGATGTTGGATTTTGTCAAATTCCTTTTCTGCATCAGTCAATAGAATCACAGGTTCTTTTTCTTTGTTTTATTTGTGTGGTGGTTTACATTGATTGTTGTTTCAGTATTGAACCATTCTTGCATCCCTAATATGAATTCCACTTGGACATAATGTTTTATATATATATAGTCCGGGTGTGGCACTGTGGGCTAATGCTCTGGGCTGCAAAGTCAACTTGAACCGCAAGGTGCTACTC